AATTATGTAATGATATAATAATAATTTATATTATTAAACGTGGGTTTACAACAGGAATGGGTGAATCAGGTTCTGTGACCTACAATGTACAAGAGGTCAAACTAGGTGATCAGGATGGTCCCTTCTGGCCTTCATCTAAGACTTTAGTTGCAGGTTGCTACTAAACACCTGCATTCAATATTCTAGTCTCAGAGGGGTAGCTGTGTTGGTCTGTAATTTTAGAAACAATGAGTAGTCCAATGGCACTTTAGGGCATGTCTACCCTAGGAAATTATTTCAAAATAAATCACAAAATAACTATTTTGAAATAGCACGTTCACACTACAGGGAAGCCTTAAAAGCAGTCTGAGGCAGGCTCTGTTAATGTGGACATGCTACCTCAACTTAGAGCCCCAGGAAGCACCGAGGAATAATTAATCTGAATGCCTCTGGGAAGTAGTTATTTCGAAATAGCAGCAGCAGATCTTCCACACTACCACTATTTTGAAATAACTATTTCAAAATAAGTGTTATTCCTTGTGGAAAGCAGGAGTTATTATTTCTAAATAATCAGTCCCTTATTTCAAAACAACAGGCTTGGTAGTGTGGATGCTCCATTTGTTATTTTGAAAATAAGGGGAGTTATTTCAAAATAACTCGCTAGTATAGACCAGAGCTTAGAGACTAACAAAAATATATCTAGCATCATGAGCTTTCTTGGGCAAAACCTACTTCTTCAGGGGGTTTTGCCCCCAAAAGCTCATGATATTATATATATATATATATATTTAGTCCCTAAAATGCCACAGGACTACTCGTTGTTTTAAGCCTGGGCTCCATGGGACAGGCCAGCAGGGGGCGCTGCAGCTCCACTATATGGGGACTGGTCTTCAGGTTGGGGGCAGAGGCTGCAGACAGAGCGGTTGGCAGGCGGGGAGGGCGCGAGAACATCGGGGAACAGACCAGGGGCTGCAAAGGAAAGAATCCAACAGGGGAGTGAGGAGGGTCGGCAGTGACCCTGCCCTTAGGCCAGTGGTTCTCAAACTGGAGTCTATGGGGCTCTATTGCTCTGTGACCCCTTGCAGGGGGGCTGCTGCTCCAGGCTCAGCTTCCAACTCCCCTGCACCTGGCAGCCTGCACGGTACCCCCAGCAAGATGGGAGAACAAGCACCGGCTTCCCCCTGCGCTGCTCCTCCTCCTCCCCTGTTCCCAGGAGGCTTCACCGCTGCTCCCATTGGCTGGAATCCCAGCCAATGGGAATTGCAGCCAATGGGAGCAGGGGGGGTAGGGAGGT